CTAGCCAATTGCGCCACGGAGACAGTCGTGCTCCACTCTCACCACCATCAGAACATTTCTTCAAAGCTATCAGCCCAAAGAAAAAAAAGCGCCGCACCACCACCGGGTGGGCTCGTACCTCCAACCTTTCAGTTAACAGCCGATCGCATAGCCAATTGGGCCACGAAGACAGTCGTGCTCTACTCTCACCAGCCATCAGAACATTCTTCAGAGCTGTCAGCCAAAGAAAAAAAAGGCGCCCGCACCATCACCTGGGTGGGCTCGTACCTCAACCTTTCGGTTAACAGCCGATTGCGCTAGCCCAATTGCGCCACGGAGACAGTCGTGCTCCACTCTCCCACCATCAGAACATATCTTCAAAGCTATCAGCCCAAAGAAAAAAAAAAAGCGCCGCACCACCATCGGGTGGGCTCGTACCTCCAACCTTTCGGTTAACAGCCGATCGCGCTAGCCAATTGCGCCACGGAGACAGTCCTGCTCCACTCTCACCACCATCAGAACATATCTTCAAAGCTATCAGCCCAAAGAAAAAAGCGCCGCACCACCACCGGTGGGCTCGAAACCTCCAACCTTTCGGTAACAGCCGATCGCGCTAGCCAATTGCGCCACGGAGACAGTCCTGCTCCACTCTCACCACCATCAGAACATATCTTCAAAGCTATCAGCCCAAAGAAAAAAAAGCGCCGCACCACCACCGGGTGGGCTCGAACCTCCAACCTTTCGGTTAACAGCCGATCGCGCTAGCCAATTGCGCCATGGAGACAGTCCTGCTCCACTCTCACCACCATCAGAACATATCTTCAAAGCTATCAGCCAAAGAAAAAAAGCGCCAGCACACCACGGGATGGGCTCGAACCTTCCAACCTTTCGGTTAACAGCCGATTCGCGCTAGCCAATTGCGCCACGGAGGACAGTCCTGCTCCACTCTCACCACCATCAGAACATATCTTCAAAGCTATCAGGCCCAAGAAAAAAAGAGCCGCACCACCACCGGGTGGGCTCGAACCTCCAACCTTTTCGGTTAACAGCCGATCGCGCTAGCCAATTGCGCCACGGAGACAGTCTTGCTCCACTCTCACCACCATCAGAACATATCTTCAAAGCTATCAGCGCAAAGAAAAAAAGCACGCGCACCACCACGGGTGGGCTCGAACCTCCAACCTTTCGGTTAACAGCCGATCGCGCTAGCCAATTGCGCCACGGAGACAGTCCTGCTCCACTCTCACCACCATCAGAACATATCTTCAAAGCTATCAGCCAAAGAAAAAAAGCGCCAGCACCACCACCGGGTGGGCTCGAACCTCCAACCTTTCGGTTAACAGCCGATCGCGCTAGCCAATTGCGCCACGGAGACAGTCCTGCTCCACTCTCACCACCATCAGAACATATCTTCAAAGCTATCAGCCCAAAGAAAAAAAGCGCCGCACCACCACCGGGTGGGCTCGAACCTCCAACCTTTCGGTTAACAGCCGATCGCGCTAGCCAATTGCGCCACGGAGACAGTCCTGCTCCACTCTCACCACCATCAGAACATATCTTCAAAGCTATCAGCCCAAAGACAAAAAAGCGCCGCACCACCACCGGTGGGCTCGTACCTCCAACCTTTCGGTTAACAGCGATCGCGCTAGCCAATTGCGCCACGGAGACAGTCCTGCCTCCCTCTCACCACCATCAGAACATATCTTCAAAGCTATCAGCCCAAAGAAAAAAAAGCAGCCGCACCACCCCTGGGTAGGGCTCGAACCTCCAACTTTCGGTTAACAGCCGATCCGATAGCCAATTGCGCCACGGAGACAGTCGTGCTCCACTCTCACCACCATCAGAACATATCTTCAAAGCTATCAGCTCAAAGAAAAAAAGTGCCACACCACCACCGGGTGGGCTCGTACCTCCAACCTTTCGGTTAAAGCCGATCGCGCTAGGCAATTGCGCCACAGGGACAGTCGTGCTCCACTCTCACCACCATCAGAACATATCTTCAAAGCTATCAGCCCAAAGAAAAAAAAGCGCCGCACCACCACCCGGTGGGCTCGTACCTCCAACCTTTCGGTTAACAGCTGATCGTGCCAGCCAATTGCGCCTCGGAGACAGTCCTGCTCCACTCTCACCACCGTCAGAACGTATCTTTAAAGATATCAGCCCAAAGAAAAAAAAGCAACACACTACTCCCTGGAGGGCTCGAACCTCCAACCTTTCAGTTAGCAGCCGATCGCAGAGCCAATTGCGCCACGGAGACAGTCGTGCTCCACTCTCACCACCATCAGAACATTTCTTCAGAGCTATCAGCCCAAAGAAAAAAAAGCGCCGCACCACCACCGGATGGGCTGCTACCTCCAACTTTTCGGTTAACAGCCGATCGCGCTAACAATTGCGTCACGGAGACAGTCCCGCTCCCTCTCACCACCATCAGAATATATCTTCAAAGCTATCAGCCCAAAATAAAAAAAGCAACACACCACTCTCGCGAGGGCTCGAACCTCCAACCTTTCGGTTAACAACCGATCACGCTTGCGAATTGCGCCACGGAGACAGTCGTGCTCTACTCTCACCACCATCAGAACATATCTTCAAAGCTATCAGCCCAAAGAAAAAAAAGTGCCGCACCACCACCGGGTGGGCTCGTACCTCCAACCTTTCGGTTAACAGCCGATCGCGCTAGCCAATTGCGCCACGGAGACAGTCCTGCTCCACTCTCACCACCATCAGAACATATCTTCAAAGCTATCAGCCCAAAGAAAAAAAGCGCCCGCACCACCCGGGTGGGCTCGAACCTCCAACCTTTCGGTTAACAGCCGATCGCGCTAGCCATATGCGCCACGGAGACAGTCCTGCTCCACTCTCACCACCATCAGAACATATCTTCAAAGCTATCAGCACAAAGAAAAAAAGCGCCCGCACCACCACCGGGTGGGCTCGAACCTCCAACCTTTCGGTTAACAGCCGATCGCGCTAGCCAATTGCGCCACGGAGACAGTCCTGCTCCACTCTCACCACCATCAGAACATATCTTCAAAGCTATCAGCCCAAAGAAAAAAAAGCAACACACCACTCCCGGGAGGGCTCGAACCTCCAACCTTTCAGTTAACAGCCGATCGCATAGCCAATTGCGCCACGAAGACAGTCGTGCTCTACTCGTACCACCGTCAGAACATTTCTTCAGAGCTGTCAGCCCAAAGAAAAAAAGGCGCCGCACCATCACTGGGTGGGCTCGTACCTCAACTTTTCGGTTAACAGCCAATCGCGCTAGCCGATTGCGCCACGGAGACAGTCGTGCTCCACTCTCACCACCATCAGAACATATCTTCAAAGCTATCAGCCCAAAGAAAAAAAAGCGCCGCACCACCATCGGGTGGGCTCGTACCTCCAACCTTTCGGTTAACAGCCGATCGCTCTAGCCAATTGCGCCACGGAGACAGTCGTGCTCCACTCTCACCACCATCAGAACATATATTCAAAGCTATCAGCCCAAAGACAAAAAAGCGCCACCCCTACACCGTGTGGGCTCGTACCTCCAACGTTTCAGTTAACAGCCGATCGCGGTAAGCCAATTGCGCCACGGAGACAGTCCTGCTCCACTCTCACCACCATCAGAACATATCTTCAAAGCTATCAGCCCAAAGAAAAAAAGCGCCGCACCACTCCCAGGGTGGGCTCGAACCTCCAACCTTTCGGTTAACAGCCGATCGCATAGCCAATTGCGCCACGGAGACAGTCCGTGCTCCACTCTCACCACCATCAGAACATATCTTCAAAGCTATCAGCCCAAAGAAAAAAAAGCGCCGCACCACCACCGGGTGGGCTCGAACCTCCAACCTTTTCGGTTAACAGCCGATCGCGCTAGCCAATTGCGCCACGGAGACAGTCTGCTCCACTCTCACCACCATCAGAACATATCTTCAAAGCTATAGCCAAAGAAAAAAAAGCGCCGCACACCACCCGGTGGGCTCGAACCTCCAACCTTTCGGTTAACAGCCGATCGCGCTAGCGAATTGCGCCACGGAGACAGTCGTGCTCCACTCTCACCACCATCAGAACATATCTTCAAAGCTATCAGCCCAAAGAAAAAAAAGCGCCGCACCATCACCAGGTGGGCTCGTACCTCCAACCTTTCGGTTAACAGCCGATCGCGCGAGCCAATTGCGCCACGGAGACAGTCCTGCACCACTCTCACCACCATCAGAACACATCTTCAAAGCTATCAGCCCAAAGAAGAAAAAGCGCCGCACTACACCGGGTGGGCTCGTACCTCCAACCTTTCGGTTAACAGCCGATCGCTCTAGCCAATTGCTCCACGGAGACAGTCGTGCTCCACTCTCACCACCATCAGAACATATCTTCAAAGCTATCAGCCCAATGAAAAAAAAGCAACACACCACTCCTGGGAGGGCTCGAACCTCCAACCTTTCAGTTAACAGCCGATCGCGCTAGCCAATTGCGCCACGGAGACAGTCCTGCTTCGCACTCAGCACCCCAAGAACATATCTTCAAAGCTATCAGCCCAAAATAAAAAAGGCAACACACCACTCCCGGGAGGGCTCGAACCTCTAACGTTTCGGTTAACAGCCGATCGCGCTAGCCTATCGCGCCACGGAGACAGTCGTGCTCCACTCTCACCACCATCAGAACATAACTTCAAAGCTATCAGCCCAAACAAAAGCGCCGCACCACCACCGGGTGGCCTCGTAGCTCCAACCTTTCGGTTAACAGCCGATCGCATAGCCTACTGCGCCACGAAGACAGTCGTGCTCCACTCTCACCACCGTCAGAACATTTCTTCAGAGCTATCAGGCCAAAGAAGAAAAGGCGCCGCACCACCACCGGGTGGGCTCATACCTCCAACCTTTCGGTTAACAGCCGATCGCGCTAGCCGATTGCGCCACGGAGATTAGTCGTGCTGCACTCTCACCACCATCAGAACATATCTTCAAAGCTATCAGCCCAAAATAAAAAAGCAACACACAAGTCGTGGGAGGGCTCAAACCTCCAACCTCGACACTTTGGCGGCAGCAGCGGATCTGCGCACAGCCTACTGAACCATTGCATATTGTTTTTACAGGTACTAAAGTTCTTCACTGCTGTTGCTGTGGGTTCTTGACGGAACGTCCCAGCTGCTTTGGAGGTTGACATCGCTTTTCATCGCTGCGTGTGCTTTTTTCAACGCGCAGCGCATGTCGTCGGTGCACTGCCCCGTGTCAAGGGAAATACGGTGGTCATCGTGGGAGTGACTGCTGACCTTTCAAATAGCCTCGACGCATCGCCCCGTATCATATCAGGGCACGGCTGTGATCATCGTGGTCGTGTTTTTGTTGTGCCCCGCTGTGAGCGCCACCTGGATAGCTGTTCAGCTCGGAGCATCTCCGGGTGTACTGAACCACACTTTGGCGGCAGCAGCGGATCTGCGCACAGCCTACTGAACCATTGCATATTGTTTTTACAGGTCAGTACTATCGTTGTTTCTTTCCTTAGTGTTCTGTTGCTTTCTGCTGCTGCTGCTGCTGCCATAGTGTTTTTAGTGTTTTTTGATGTCGCCAGCCGAAATGGAAAAACATTTTAAAGAGTTGAAACAAGAGTTTCGCGAAATGCGGACTGCCCTGGAGGGAGAGCTGCGTAAGGAAATACGTGATGTGAAAACAAGTCTAGACTTTTTTAATAAGCAGTTTGAAGAAATTTCGGCTCTGTGCTCGCGGCTTGAAAAAGAAAACGGTGAGCTAAAGGCTCAAAATGATGTTCTGAAGACTGATTGCAGTCAGCTGAAGCAGGTCGTTCTCAACAATGAACGTAGGACTACCGCCCTAGAACAGTACTCGCGAAACCGAAATATTGAAGTGAAAAATGTTCCTTTCGTGGAGGGTGAACGGTTGACCAGGGTCGTTCAGAAGATTGGTGAAGCTGTCGGCGAATCAGTGAAAGAAGATGACATAGAAATTTGCCATCGCGTGACTGCTAAGGATGCATCTTGCCCTCATATTGTTGTGCAGTTCAACAACCGGTCTAAGCGAGACGCAGTTCTGGAAAAGGCGAAAAAGTTGCGCTTAACGACAGCTGATATTGGTTTCCCAGGAAAGACATTTGTCTACGTCAATGAACACCTATGCTCACAGTTAAAAAAACTACTGGGACAAACTGTAGCGCGCAAGAAGGAAGCCGAATGGCGATTTGCCTGGACGAAAGGCGGCAAAATTTTTGCGCGAAAGGATGAGAAGTCGAGGGTGCTTCAGATAACTACTGAGAGCGATCTCGAAAAGATTGTTTAAATTTGTTGAGCTTCATCCTTTAGCAAAAAAAAGCTAGAAGAAAAACAGGGCAAAAAGAAAATGGCTGCAGACTGCTTAACGCCACACCAGTTGAGCCTATTGGTATCTGGTAGAAAACACCACATTTCCTACCTTCATATAAATGCGCAATCAGCCAGAAACAAGGCAGATGAGATAGCAATACTGCTTGAATCGTTTGAGTTCTCCTTTGACGTCATCATGGTTACTGAAACCTGGTATCGCCATGAATCCGACGTTCTTCGTATACCTAGCTATGCCACGTATTTCTTGAACCGCAGTGATAAATTAGGTGGTGGTGTTATGCTCCTGGTCAAAGATGTGTTTGAGTGTGAAATACTCGAGGCTTTTTCTGTGGTTACTGACGATTACGAGATTATGACTGTAAAATGTTCTTCGGGTATTTTTTCTGTGGTATACCGCCCCCCCAAATGTAACATGTGCAACTTTTTTACGTTTTTAGACACTTTCCTGTCGTGGGTCAATGAAAATGGTTACAATCTTACTATCGGGGGTGACCTAAACATTGATATGCTAACTTCCAGCCCCCAACGTCTTGAACTTTGCAATATCATGGAATCAAACGCATTTAAAAATGTTATAAAACACCCCACTCGATTTCATGCCCAATCCTGCACACTTATCGACGTCATTATAACAAATAGCACAAGTGCACCTCTTTGCTCGGGTGTCCTTAAGACACATATTAGCGACCATTTGCCTGTTTACTCAATTTTAAGTCAAAAGAAGCTTCAACTTAGGGATGCAAAGCCACCGCCTACCCCATTCCGGTACATATGTCCTAGCACAATTGATATGTTCGCTGCATATATATCCAAGATAAAATGGGACGCTGTTTTCCGTGAAACTGATGCAGACACAGCGTATAATGTTTTCATCGAACGTTTTAGTGAAGCCTACAACAAGTGCTTTCCGCTCAAAGCAAAACGCAGACCACGCAAGGCAAGAAAGCCTTGGATTACTTCGGAATGCCTTCAAGCTATAAAAGTAAAAAATGCACTTTACCAGAAATTTCTAATATCTAGAGACAAAGAAGACTTGAAGACATTTAGAAAACATAGAAATACTACAAACTCCTTATTAAGGAAAAGCAAACTTGAATATTTTAGCAACCTTTTCAGCCCTGAAAAAACCAAAACGTCCGAAGCCATCTGGAAAAAGTTAAACATGTTGCTCCACCCACACTCGGATGATAGCACATACCCGACTAAACTCATTGTAGACAACCGCGTTCTAACTGGTGATGACCTTGCTGAAGCTTTCAATAAATTCTTTACCTCTATTGGAGAGAGCTCGCACGACAATAATTTTGCGCGATTCATGGGTTCGCAAGTAGGCGAAAGTGCATTTCTATTTCCAGTGACTACACAGGAGGTTACGGCAGATTTCATGTCACTAAAGAATAGCAGGTGTTGTGACGTAGACGGCCTGGAAATCCGTCCAGTTAAGCATGTTATTCATGTCATATCTCCTATTTTAGAATACATCATTAACTTAATCTTCTCATTGGGCACGTTTCCTAGTCGTCTTCAGATAGCCAAAGTTTCTATTATTTTCAAAGGTGGTGACAAAAATAGCATGACCAATTACAGACCAATTTCTATTTTACCTGTATTTTCTAAAGTAATTGAAAAGTTGTTACATAAACGAATAGTGTCATTCTTAACCAAGCACCACATTATGACGCCTTTTCAATTTGGTTTCACAAAGCAGCGCTCAACAGAAACTGCCCTACTAATGCAAAAAGAAATCATACTCGATGCATTTGAAAAGGAAATATATACACTTGGAATTTTTGTAGATTTCTCAAAAGCATTTGACAGAATCAACCACATTACATTAATTAAAAAACTAGAACACTACGGTTTTCGGGGGAACTTTATAAGTGTCATAAAAACCTATTTGAAATACCGACAGCAAAAAGTAGATATAAATGGCTACGCATCTAGTTTTAAAAAACTGTCACATGGCGTGCCCCAAGGAAGTATTCTGGGTCCCCTGCTTTTTAATCTGTATGTGAACGACTTGACAAACATCGATAACAATACAACATTTATTATTTATGCAGATGATACCAGCTTATTTTTTAAAGACTGCGATTTGCATAAACTAGTTGACAAAGCAAATAGTGTCTTGAAACTGCTGCACATTTGGAGCATAAGAAATTCGCTAATTATAAACACCTCAAAAACAAAATCTGTGCTCTTTCGTCCAATAAATAAGCCCGTAAACTGCGATTTATCATTAGTGATTGGCTCAGAATCTATAAGGATTGAACCGATAGTGAAAACTCTGGGAGTTTTTTTCCACGAAAACATGCTATGGAAGGATCAGGCTGAGTTTGTCCATGCTAAACTTTCTCGTACTGTAGGTATCTTATCGCGCTTACGTTTTCTCTTGCCACAAAAAATTAAACTCTTACTATATAATTCGCTATTTTTATCTACATTAAGCTATTGCTATCTAGTATGGGGCACCACATCGGAAAAGAACTTAGGCCGAATATATAGATTACAGAAAAAGGCTGTGCGCATAATTACAGGTGTTCCTCGCGATGAACATTCCAAACCCATTTTCGAAGCCCTTAATTTACAACCAATGCCTGAGATATACAATACAATTTTAATGAAGCGATATCGTACTTCCTTAAAGAATCACGACTCTTTTCTTACTGATTTAGCGCGTTTGACACCCTATACCTGCCCCTATAGCACACGAGCTACCGATGACTGGAAAATTCCTTACACACGTACTAACTATGGTCGCCAGATGATGAGCTACTTACTGCCACTAACCTTAAACAGTTTCTTACAATAAACCATTTATACTGCTCCGTTCTGTAAATGTTTTTCAACGTGTTAATAAAATGCAAATCGGCATGACCTTGAAGTACATGTTTTGATATTGTATAATAACTGATGATCTCATGCTGCTGTTGCTGTTGCTATTTTGTCAAATGGTGCGAAAGCCTTCGTCAAGCCTTAATGGCTTTTTGCTTTCGCCCCACAGCATCACTGTTGTGACTTTTGTAATGTCTCCTGTGATGTCGGAATAAACTGAATTGAATTGAATTGAAAACCACCAAAAACGACTTCTTCTAACGAGATAGTGTTGTTTTATTGCGAGTACGAAACTGCGATAGGTGAAATGTTGTGAAAGCACACAAATCGGCATGAACAAGCCAAATACTGCGTGTTGTACCGTTACAAGTGCGAAACTGCTATGTTGTGATATTCTTGTTAAAGCGCATGCAAGCATCGTGAAACCTTAAAGAATGTGGTCAATCAGCGAGATACAGCGTTCTGTACTGTAATAAGTTGGTGAAAAACTGTGAGGTCATGCAAATATTGTAATTGTGAACGAAACAGTGTAATAGAGCGTTTTGAGTACAAGTGCGAATGTTAGGTTAGGTTAAGATATGAACCGTCGTAAAACCGCATTAAACAATGTCACTTAGTGAGATGCAGTGTTTTTCACCATTACAAGTCGGGAACTGCGATATCTAATGTGAAAGCGCTTGCAACCGTCGTTAGGTTAGGTTAGGTTAGGTTACGTTACGTTAGTTTAGGTTTGGTTAGGTTAAGTTAGGTTATGTTAGGTTAGGTTGGGTTGGGTTGGGTTAGGTTAGGTTAGGTTAGGTTAAGTTGGGTTTGGTTAGGTTAGGTTACGTTAGGTTAGGTTAGGTTACGTTAGGTTAGTTTACGTTAGGGTAGGTTAGGTTAGGTAAGGTTAGGGTAGGTTAGGTAAGGTTAGGTTAGGTTAGGTTAGGTTGGGTTGGGTGTGGTTGGGTTGGGTTCGGTTTGGTTGGGTTGGGTTAGGTTGGGTTAGGTTAGGTTAAGTTAGGTTACGTTAGGTTAGGTTAGGTTAGGTTAGGTAAGGTTAGGTTAGGTTAGGTTAGGTTAGGTTACGTTAAGTTAGGTTAGGTTAGGTTAGGTTTGGTTACGTTAGGTTAGGTTAGGTTAGGTTACGTTAGGTTAGGT